AGGTTTTCTGCCTTGATATCCTGAGATATAGGGCTGTGTGGAAGGGCCCTGAGAGAGTTTATTAACCCAGAAGGTGGGGGGAATAAGGCATGGCAATTTTCCCGCCTGAGGGGCAAAGCGAGCGCGCGCGACCCTCTGAGGCCACCCTATTGGCTGGAGGGGGGGGACGTCCGAAGGCGGGAAAAAGAGGGGGAGAGGGAGGGCGGAGAAAGGAGCGGAGCCTCGAGGGGGAGCCCCGGCTTCTCTGCCGCCGCCTCTTCATTCCTCTTCTGGAGAAGGAGCGAGCGGTGCGGCTCCGGAGCAATGGCCGCGTTCCTCGGTGGCGCAGGAGGAGGAGGAGGCGGAGGAGGGAGCCTCGGGAGCGGGGTTTGCCCGTGGCCACGCTCCCCTCCGGGCTCGGCGCTGGGCTGGGAGCCGCTGTTGCCGGGGCTGCAGATCCACTCGCGCTCGGTGGAGCAGACGCTGGTGCCGCTGGTGGCGCAGGTATTGCCCGCTCCAACCCAGCCCTCCCCCTTCATTGTCCACTTTGAAGGCTCCTTCTCCTCCCGCCCTCCCTATTTGGGACCCTTTCTGTGCCCACACACACACACACACACCCAGAAAGGGACCGCTCCGTTCCCCTTTCGGCCGAAGCGCCTTCAAACGGGGAAGGACTTTGTGTCTTTTGAAGGGCAGCCAGCCAGCCATCCATTCACCCCGGCCTTTGCTGTTTGGCTTGGCATTTGGGGCGCTTCTTTCTTTCACATAACTTTCCCTCATTCTTTTTTCTCCTCCTTTCGACTGTAATCCTTTTTAAAGAGCCTGTGACTAACTTCCGCAAAAGTTTGGCGCTTCGGGCGAAAAAAGTTTCTGCTATTGTTGTTGCTGCCAGGCTCCGTTGCTTTGTGTGGCTTGGTGAATATTTAAAAATATTGGAAAAAAAAGGGCGCCATCTTTACAAAATGTTTTGTAAATATTAACGAAATTTCGTTAATACCGAACTTTTTTTTTGGAAAATTTTGTAATTATTTTAAATAACGAAACAAAAAAACACCCCAATTACAAAACGATTACAAAACCAAATTTTTGCGTTGTTACCCAGGCCTAGTATCTAAGTAGCAGAGAGGTATAAAATTGTCCTGAACAACCTGGGTACTTGTACATGAGTCAATAAGTTTTCCCAGTTTTTTGTGGTAAAATTATGTGCCTCGGCTTATACTCAGGTTGGCTGATACTCAAGTGTATATGGTATTTGGCAAACTGATACTCAACAAACAGCTGCAAAAATTATTCATGAGAACTTTTGATTTACACTTTTAAAAATCCTTTAATTGTTCATAAAGGCACATTTTGATTGTGAAATTCTATGAATTTTTTTTATTTGTGCAACATTTTGTTTAATGCTAAACAAAGTGAGATTACAGAAAGCTGCATTCAGCATCAACAAATTGTTTGGGGGAAAGGTTACTTTTAAACAATACTACACTGAAAATAAAACAACTTGGATGGAGAAGGGATTCATTCATCCTGCATAGCATACCTGGTTAAAGTTGCTGGCCGGATATCTGGCAGTATTTTTTTAATTGATGTGATACTAGGAAATAAACATTTTTATCCTGTCATCTTGAGAATCAGGTTCATTCAATACTTAGCCTCTTTCCCTCTTCATCTGCACATCACTATTCCCGGGATCTGCATTCAATTTATGATAGAATAGTGTTAACCAACTTGTGTTGGATTAATATACCCTACTATCCATAGGCAACATGAATGCTGGGCACTGTCATTAATCACAAGTGGAGGGCTGTAGGTGAGGAAATCTGTACTAGAACACAGCATATGACAGAGATAAAATTATGGGCTATATATGGATATTATTATTGTTGACCCATTCTTCAAGAACTTGAACTGTGAAGGTTTGGCTTGGAGAAGAGAAGATTGAGAGGCCATATGATAGTCATTTAAAATATTTGAAAGGATGTCACACTCAGGATAGAGCAAGCTTATTTTCAGTTGCCCTGGAGACTAGAACATGAACCAATTAATTCAAACTGCAAAAAATAAAATGCCATCTGAACATTGGGAAGAACTTTCTATCAATAAGAGCTATTCCACAGTGCAACACATTGCTTCATGGGGTAATGGATTCTTGTTCTTTGAAGGCTGGATGACGATCTCTTTGGAGTACTTTGATGTTATATTTTCCACAGCAGAGGCAGGGCTAGATGGTCCTGGTAGTACCTTCCATCCAATAATCCTATGGTGCTTATGAGTTTCGGAGTTTTGGAGTTGGGTGCCATCTCTACGCAGACGACACACAACTCTACTACTCTTTTCCATCTAACTCCAAGAAAGCCCCTCGGGTGCTGGACGAGTGCCTGGCCGCTGTGGCTGTCTGGATGAGGACAAACAAGCTGAAGATCAATCCCGACAAGACAGAGGTCCTCCTAGTCGATTGTAAACCAGATCGGGGTATAGGGTAGCAACCTGAGTTGGACGGGGTTGCACTCCCCCTGAAGTCACAGGTCCGCAGTCTGGGTGTCCTCCTGGACTCATCACCTATGCTTGAAGCTCAGGCGTTGGCGGTGGCTGGGAGGGCCTTTGCACAATTAAGGTTTGTGCGTCAACTGCGACCGTACGTCGTGAAGGCAGATCTGGCCAGGGTGGTCCATGCCTTAGTCACCTCCAGATTGGAGGTGCACTCTACATGGGGCTATCCTTGAAAACGGCCCGGAAATTTCAATTGGTCCAATGGGTGGTGGCCAGGTTGTTAACTGGTGCTCCTTACAGAGGGAGGTCAACCCTCCTGTTTAAGGAGCTCCATTGGCTGCCGTTCATTTTCTGGTCCCAATTCAAGGTGCAGGTGCTTACCTATAAAGCCCTAAATGGTTTGGGACCCACCTACCTGCATGACCGCATTTCTGTATATGAACCCACACGATCTCTTCGATCATCTGGAGAGGCCCTACTCACGATCCCACCTTCATCGCAGAGCCCTCTATTTAGCCTGTGATGTCTTTTATTTTATTTTATTTTACTGTTCAATAAATGCCAGCTGGATCTAACTTCCAATTTAATTTCACAACATAGCATCCCTCTAGGGCATTGTGGGAAATTTAAAGAACAGCCTTTAGAAGCTGGAGCCAGTGTATGGAAAAATTCCCTTTTCAAAGTCAAGTTTCCATAATACTCCAACCACAGCCAGCATGACGTTATCAGCATATAACACAGAGCCCAATAACTTGGAAAAGAGTTTGTCCCTCACACTTTGAGTCAAGCCTGCATGGACAGGAAAACAATTATAGAACCAGCCATGGGCTCTAAGAAAACTTGGAATCAGGTGTGTGACAACAACAACAACAACAACAACAATGTTCTTGCCTGCATCTTCTCATGACTCAAGGTAGGTTATAACACCGCTAAAAGCACATGACGCTATGTAACATGATTTTTGTTCCTGAGTTATAAATGTCATTTCCTAATTGGCTCTATCATAAAAACATGGAAAACGTTTATTAAACTGCAAACACTTTGTTTTTGTGGGACATCCTGCAGCACACTTTGCTATAGTTTTTCAATGACTATTTCATAGATTTTCAACCAATTTAACATAGTTCGTGACAGCTATAAAAGCTAACTTTCTGGAGTACTTTCAAAGTAAGTACTGCACAATAAAATAGGAAATAACATTTTCTAACCAGGAAATCATTTTTTTTTCAAATGTTGTTACATAGTATAATAATCTCAAAACATTCTATAAAATACACATATTAAAACGTATTTCTACAAAATACATATTAGAATACATAGAACAAAGATTAAACATAAGATTCAAGTTTAAATTTTTTGAATAAGACTGGCTGGAAGAGACGGGTCTTCAAATGTGTCTTAAATTCTGACAGCTCATTAAGCTGTTGAATCTCTTCTGGCAAGTCAATTTACAGTCTTGGAGTGGCTGATGAAATTGTCCTCTGGGTGACGGTCACGTGTCAGATTCTGGCAGGCCAGAGTAGATGCCCCCAGAGGACCCTTGGGGAGGATTGTACAAGATAAGGTAATCCTGTAGGTCATCTAGACCCTAACCATGTAAGGCTTTACAAACACTTTGTACTTTGCCCAAAAAGTAATTGGCAGCCAGTGGAGTGACTTTAATATGAGTGTAATATGTTCACTCCTGGATGAACCTGTAACTAATCTGCTTGCCATCTTTTGAACCAATTGGAATTTCCAAAATTGGTACAAAGGTAGCCCAATGTAAAATGCATTGCAGAAGTTCAACCTTTTGGTTACCAGTGTGTGTTTTACCACCTTTAGGTCCTCCAAATCTAGAAGGAGTCAGTCCCACCGGAGATCAATTATAGAGCCAGACATGGCCACTAATGGCACTTCCAGACAGGTACTATATCCCAAGATCTTATCCCAGGTTTTCTGTTTATCCCAGATTAACGGACAGTGCAGACTCATATAATCTAGTTTAAAGTAGAAAACCTGGGATCTGATCCTGGGATATAGGGCCTGTCTGAAAGGGCTCTCAGAGAACTTGGAATTAGTCTTGCAAGGAACAAGAGTGCAATTATAAAGCCAGCTGTCCGTACCAAGAGAATTTGGAGTAACATTACAGACTTGGAGTTAGCCTCACAGGTACAGGGGGACAATTATAAAGCCAGCCGTCGGCACATTGAGAGCTCTTAAACTGGACTACGGAACTTTTTTTCCTCACATTTGTTAACACTGTGTAATCTTACATCCATAAAGGGTTTATGTAACAGCTTGATAAGTGCGAGTCATGTTCTGAGAAGTTCTCGGATGTTAAAACACTACGAAACCAATATAGAAATGTGAAAATTCTGAAGTGCAAAGCATCCTCCCCTTACTGGCCTCTTGTACTTTGTGCAATTCCCATAGTTTTTTTCCTACCTACAGCAAACAACTAAACTTGACATACAGAGACATGTGATTCAAAGAAACCTGAAGCATACTCTAAGCTGTTTCAGCCCGGCTCCATGCCCCTCCCTTCGGTAGGCACACCTCACAAATATAATGCAAAAAGGAAAAGAGAAAGGAGGGGGGAGGAGGGAGGGAGGAAAAAAAAACCTTTGGTATGCTGTTGTTGCTGTTTGCTCTAAAGAATGACAACCATGTTCGCAGGCTATTAAGGACTTCAAAATTGACCAAGAGGAAACGCATATTTGATGATGACACAATCTTTGTTGGTGTCGTTGTTCAACGTCAGGAAACTCCCACAAGGAATGGCTTAAGAACACTTAAGGTAGGCAGAGCCGTTTCTCAGACAGCTCTAGTAAATCAAAGGGGAAGAAGAGAGAGAGCTAGTGTGTACATTCAGTTCCTAAATAGATGACAGGATGAGCTCCAACCAAGGTTTCTACCACTTTCCTGCTGGATCTTTCAGAGGTGCTGCTGCTACTGTGGCAGGATGCAATTTTGCACCTGCTGAAGGCTACTACCGAGCATCCAGTTTACACGGAGGAAGCAGCAGCACCCGCATTCCCATGTCCTTTGGAAGACCCATTTGGCTCACCTCTGATGCTGGTGTAGGGTGGGGAAGCTTCGGTGGGAGCCATGGAAACCTCTTCATGGGCAGGAATGAGAAGCAGACCATGCAGGATTTGAATGACCGTTTGGCCACCTACCTGGACAAGGTGCGTTCCTTGGAAGAGGCCAACACCCAGCTGGAGGGCTGCATCCGGGAGTGGCACGAAAGGAGGTCTCAAGGCATGAAGCATGACTTCACGGATTACGAGCAAAACATCGTAGACATGCACGAGCGGGTAAGAGATGAAAAAAGACACATTCTGTTTGCCCAACTGAGCTGTCAACAATATAAGTACTCGTGAAAGATTTCTTCAGATGAGTACTTGTGGTGATGTCCTGCAGAACATTGTGTGTGTTTGTGTGTCCTCAAGGAAAGGTTACATTTGTTTTAAGAAGTTATTTTAGTTTTGGAGGTTAGATTCAGCAGGTGGAAAGGGTGAAATCTGGACACTGTTGAAATTAAGTGATGAGACCAAATTATCCCATTGATTCTTTTCCTTAATTGATTTTACATTTAATTATTTACCACTCCATCTTTCCTTTTTTTTAATGACTCAAGGTGGTTACATCTTTTTCACCTTTCTCTTCACAACTTTGTAACTCAGGCTGATGGAGAATGTGATCAAATGTCACCCAATGAACTCCATGGCTGAAAGGGACTTAGATCCTCCACATCCTGTTCAACATTCTTATCATTGCCTAACACTGACTTTTGATTAATATGTTTATCCATATGTATACTTCATTCATAAGTAAACATTATGCTTAAAGGTGTAAATCAAAGTGCTATTTGCAACTAGGGTATACCTATTAAATCTATTGAATTTAGATAAGCATTGGCATTCCAAACTATTCATTGATTCAGTAAGTCTGTTTTAGTTGGGACTAATAATTGAATTTAGCTAATATTCAGCTACTCCATTTAATTGATTTTACAATATTCCAGATATAGATACTGTGTAAATTCTGAAGCCTGGAGGCACAAAGTACTGATCAATGAGGATTTATTTGTCAATAAACAGGGTCCACACATGAAAAATAATGTTAATCTGAAATAGTGCCGTATTAACATTGCTGACAGATACAACATGTTCACTCTGTACTGGGAACAGGTGTATGTGTTGGATTTTTCTAATATTTTTGTCAGATAACATTTTTAATGTATAAAGATGTACCAAAAATAGTACATTCTCCAAAAATTGTCATAAAGAATTTGCATTTTAAGAAGTGTGGGAGAAAAGCAAAATTTGACAAATTGACCTGTCCCTATTCAAAGTACTTTGTTTGTGGGTTTTTAAAATATATACATTATAACTGTATTCTCAATTTGCTTCTGACATGATAAATAAACATTTCAAATAGGCTTGAAAAGCAAGCCATCCAATGATACAAGATGTTACACAAAAAACTACATTAAACAGCAAGCAGCTGAGGTAGGGGACCATTTCTAATTTCTTTCTGTGAGCAAATGGCATGGCCAAGCACTGTTGAGGAAGATGGATTCAGTAATTATAGTTATTCATGAGTAAGTATTTCGCTGCTTTACAGACTTCCACTCAGAGACAACCCTACCATTAAAAGGAGAGTTAGGAGGATGCCTCAGGGGGCAAATGCTGGTGGTGAAACTGAAGAGCATATGGCCACCTCTTCACCCCTAAACTAGCCGAATATATCAAGTTTAGAGGCTGGTCCATTGCCAGTGCTAAAATTAAGAATTGATTGCCTACCAGGGTTTGGTTTTTCGAATAATCAATGGGACAACATGCAAAATATCGTTAAACGGCCTGTATCAGGTTATTATTTATTTATTTATTTATTTATTTATTTATTTATTTATTTATTTCTAACTCACACCTCTCTTTCTCTGAAGGGACTCAGGACAGCTCCCAAATCCTTACTTTAACCAAGTTCTCTGAAACAGCAGTCCAAGTTACTGTCTGGACTATATCATGCTGTAGGGGTGCTCTCCCATCTGAATGGTCATTCAAAATAATTTTGTGCACAATATCTGAATGAAAGTTTCCATCCTATTTCACTCTTCCTGTCATTTTAGTTTGCTATATGTAGGACAGGAATCTTGGAAAGAGTGACTGCCACCAAGGCTATAAGAGTGGGATTCAGTTGGAACACCAGTCCAAAGAGACAGGAAACGACTAGCGAATTTCTGAACCAAACACTGTCTACTTTGTTCATGTTTTATTATAATCATATTTCTCTACAAAGAAGGATGAAGTACAGCATTAAAATTTCATGCTACACCATTATCTTTAAAAGCTTAATTGATCAATCAATTTCGAGAACACACACACACACACCTCGCCAGCATGGCTAAAGCTAGTTTCGTTCCACCTTTCAAAATTTGTCTCAGAGGTCCTGACATGCACTTATAGTCTTTAGTGGTACAATCCAGGTGTTGGTTTACCATCCAATTGGCTGTTTAGGATCACGTACCATATTTAACCCTGGTACTTTTTGGTCTGTCACCATCTCTCTTCATCGTACGGCTGTTTCTGTGCTTTCTCATCCTGGGTTTTTAAAGAGAAAAAGTTAATATACAACAGGGGAATTTCAGAACATAGGATCAATTGAAGTAAAAATGGATTGTGTGAACTATCTAAAGATTTTCAGGGTCCAGATGATTTCAGACTATATATCTGTCACACCGACATGGTCCATCCAGCATTAAAAATATATCCACAACCTTACCTTTATTTTACGTATATCAGATTAGGAAGCATAACACCTAAAGTGATCCTAATTTGGGTTTACTTACAAGTAGAATATACATTTTGGTGAAAAGGGATTTTGTTTCTGTTACACTGAAATAAAGTAGTTCATAGCAAACTGATACCAAGAGAGATTTCTACAGAATGCCATGTTTGAATATGTCTTCTATTGGTCACTCTGGGATTATTTTCTATAATGAAAAAAAACTAGATAGACTAGACAGATTCAGTTATTGCTTCCTGATGTAAAGCAGTCAATAGATACACACCGCAACCCATCCAAATCAAGGTATGTGCTTAGTATCTTCAAAGGAGCTGTGGTACTTTGGCATAGGAGGCAAAAACAAAAAAAAAACCCAAAACACCTCTTCTGATCCCTGACAACAAAAATCCAATAATAAAGAAAAATTTTAGGAATTTGCAATCATTTCATATCACCCAAGATGCATTGCTTCCCTCTATCTAATGGTGAAGCTGGCCCTGCTAGCAGAAAATATGGCTCTTTATGTATATGAGAGAAACCATATAAGAAAATGTGTCATTCCTCTCTAATTAAATACGTAAACTAGCCGTCCTCTGCCATGTGTTGCTGTGGCCCAGTCTGGTGATCTGGAAAATAGAGTAATGAGAAAGTGTTGGTTTCTAATATATGTAATTTTTTATGTTTGTGGGTAAACAGTATTTCTTGCTGTTTCTTTCTCAGTGTTGATGTGGAGATTGTCTGGTTTGCCTACACTAAAACATGCAACATATAATTATCTGTTATTGGGGGTCCCTTTCGAATCTATAATACTATATCTGTGTGTGTGTGAATCATATATATCCATCTATATCAATGGCTGGATGGTTCTTTATCAAGACGGATTTGATTTTTTAAATTTTTTTTTGCCCTGGCGAAGGTAGTTGGACTGAATGGCCTTAAGTGTTTTCTGTTGGTCATGGGGGTTCTGTGTGGGAAGTTTGGCCCAATTCTATCGTTGGTGGGGTTCAGAATTCTCTTTGATTGTAGGTGAACTATAAGTCCCAGTAACTACAACTCCCAAATGTCAAGGTCTATTTTCGCCAAACTCCACCAGTATTCACATTTGGGCATGTGGAATATCCGTGCCAAGTTTGATCCAGACCCAACATTGTTTGAGTCTACAGTGCTCTCATTGTAGGTGAACTACAGCTCCCATACTCAAAGTCAATGCCCACCAACCCCTCCTACTGTTTTCTGTTGGGCCATAGGAGTCCTGTGTGCCACATTTGATTCAATTCCATCATTGGTGGAGTTCAGAATGCTCTTTGATTGTAGGTGAACTATAAATCCAGGCAACTATAACTCCCAAATGAGAAAATTAGTTTTTTTGAGTGATGGTCACTCCTTGGGTTAATAGGTGCCTTGAGGCCAAATTTGGCGGCAATTCACCCAGTGGTTTTTGAGTTATGTTAATCCCACAAACGGACATTACATTTTTATTTATATAGATAACCTTTTTAAAAAAATTCTACAAATGCATAATTTCCCTCTCCCTGAAAATTTTATGTTGTCTTTGAAGAAAGCTGCCTTTCAAATGCATGTTTCCATGCACAAGTATGACGTCAATTTGAACTCATAAGAAAACATTGGCAACACACCAATAATCTCTGTGACTAATCCGATTAATGACTTCTAACTCCATGCTGCCATATAAGGCCAGATGCCAGGCTATTCTCAAACTTGTACTGGTAGTTTAATTTAGGAAGGGCACTTGTGGTTCCAAATGAAGTTCCTTCTGTGCCACCTATAATCTTGAGACATTTTCACAATGAGTTCAGAAAGGTGGCATTCAGCAGCACTAATCTCAGAGATTGTGTCATTCCTCCTAAATAGTAATAGCCCCCATCCTTGAGAGCCTCCGTAGGATTAAACTTTGTCTGTTTTAGAAGCAGAATCATAACTTTTTGTACCATAACACCCAGAATGCCCCCAAGCAGCTTGGCTATTGCTGACTAGCAGGTTCTGAGAGCTGCATCCAAAAAGAATTGAATTCTCCATAACTGGGAAAGAAGACTGAACTTGGCCATGATAAAGTTGCCTCAGATTACGTTTCTACTCAGGTCCTGAGTGGCTTTCCAAAATCCAGGTTTTAATAATTTTGAGAATAACGATAGGCTTTCTTCCTTGCGTTCCTTATTTCAGGTCTCCTCCTTCTTTTGATCTACTCTTAAACTCTCCCCGTAGATTTTGAGCTTGGTTTTTCTTAGCTTGCATTGATGGGAAAAGAATCTTTGCCACATGAAGGAGTTGCTTGGTCCCAAAATAAAAGTTTGACTTTAGGGTACAGTTCCATTATCTGGGCAGAGTCTACAAGGGGGGCTAGACAGAGAAGGATAGTCCATTTTATGAGGGGGGAAGGAGGTTGAAGGAGTTAAATAATTTCCCCGTTTTCCTATTATTTCCCCACCCATGTTGCTGTTGTTGAAACAACCATCATTTATGACATGGGAGGGCGGTGGGGGGGGGGGGGATAAACTAGCAAAAATGGGGGAAAGGGTTTTCCTCAATCAACCCCCCCCCCCCCATAAAATGGACTATCCTTCTCTATCTAGGCCCCCTTTTAAAGTCAACTTGGATAATGGAACAGTACCAACTTTGGTAATGGTAGAAAGCCACTGTGTTATAATAGTCTGAGAGTTGAACTGAGACTCTGGGAGACTAAGGTTTGAATCCCTGATCAGCTATGCAAATGCATTTAGTAATCTTGCACAAGTCACATTATTTCAACCTAAGAGGAAGCAAATGACAAATGTCTTCTGAATAAATCTTGGCAAGAAAATTCTTGCCAAGAAAAACCCATATGGTTTCTCAAAGTTGGAAAATCTGCATGGTGGAGTATGCTTTAAGTCTTGGGCTATGATACTGGGACGTCAGGATTTGAATCCCACTTGGTCATGAAAACCCACTGGATGACTCTGGACAAGTTACACTCTTCAGAATCAGCAAAAGGCAAGGGCAACCTCCTTTGAGCAAACCTTGTTAAGAAAACCTCATGATAGGTTTGCCTTAGGGTTACCATAAGTAAGTAATAACTTGAAAGCATACACCAATAAATAAGTTGGAAGCGACTTCAAAGTACATAGCAACAACAACTTCTCTAAATAAATCTTGCCATGATAGGGTTGTCATAAATTGCAAGCAACTTCAAGGCGCATAACAACAACTTAACATGTGACCCACACAGTTAGAAATTTGGGCTCTTCTAAAGTTCTGATATGTTGCTACTGCAGTAATCCTCAAAAATCAAGGAAATTATGGGTATATTACATGTCAAACATGATCATATTTCATACCAAATCTTTCGGCATTTTTGTAATCTCAACTTGTGTCAACTTTCCTCAAGGATTTTGTCTGGCTTGTATTTTACAGATGGCCAGCTAGAATGCTGTGTGGATCACAACACAGTCATATTTTGAATCTTTAAGTTTCTCCAGCTTGTTGCAAAAATATTTTTATAAAATAATATAATTTTAGTGGACTAGGAACACTAGCTCTTATGTACTCTGCAAGAATTATTAGTTTACTAATCTACCTTAGTCCATCAACTATCAGGATAAACCAATAGCCCATTTGTTGTTAACTCTCTTCAAGTCAACTTCAGTTTATGGAAATCCTATGGCTGAGAGATGTCCAAGTCACTCTATCCTCAAATAGCCCTGCACAGATAATACAGACTGAGTGAAGTGATTTCCTGATTGAGTCTATCCATCTGGAATTTGCTCTTCCTCTTTTCCTACTGCCTTCTAACTTACCAAGCATTATTGTCTTTTCTAGTGAGTCATGTCTTCTCATGAGGTGGCCAAAGTACAATAGTTTCAGTTTACTCATATTGGCATCTAGGGATGTTTTATGGTCCATTTATTTGTCTTTTTACCAGGCCATGATGTCTGCAGAACTCTCCTCCAGCACCACATCTCAAATAAATTGATTTTCTTCCCATAATCTTTTAAAAATTATTATCCAGCTATCACATAGAAATGGGGAATACATTTAGATGAACCTCCCCAACTTTAATACTTAGTTATGTACGTTTAGGGTCCCCTGGTGGCGCAGTGGGTTAAACCGCTGAGCTGCTGAACTTGCTGACCAAAACGTTGGTGGTTCAAATCCGGGAAGTGGGGTGAGCTCCCACTGTTAGGCCCAGCTTCTGCCAACCTAGCAGTTCGAAAACATGCAAATGTGAGTAGATCTATAGGTACTGCTTCTGCAGGAAAGTAATGGCACTCCACACAGTCATGCCGGCTATGGACAATGCCAGCTCTTTGGCTTAGAAATGGAGATGAGCGCCAACTCCAGAGTTGGACACAACTAGACTTAATGTCAGGAGAAACCTTTACCTTTATGTATGTTTATACTTCAGGATCTCGTCTAGTTCCTTCATAACTACCTTACTAAGTGGCTCATGCACCAGTATAAATCCCAAGACAGTGTAAGAGCCATTTCTGCAGACTCATCAAATTTGTGCAGCCAAGATTGGTAACAAAACTGGGCTTCTCCTGCTTTCACAAGATTGCCTAATAAACACTGCCATTTAAGTGTCAATTAAATATTTGATGTGTCTAGCTTCCCTCCCATTTTCCTAACTGCACATCATCAGTTTTCAAACTGCACCATTGTTTTTCCAGTGGCACATTTTGTGGCCAATTGCAAATAATGTCCCAATGGACATGTATAAATGTTGCTTTTTAAGGACAACATGCATTCAAAAATACGGGAAAATGAGCACAAGAGATAATATGCATACAATGTAAATGTAAATATGTATTTATACGATGTA